ATTAGGTTATACCGGAAGTTTTGAAGATTTCCGTCATGGTCGTGTGAAGGGTGTGTTCATAAGGAACGACGTGGTCTCAATACTGGAACAGTGTAAAAGAAAATCTTTTTACAAATCTGAGATGCCAGATCCTTTATAACAAAGGATGTTATAATTTTATATACATGTATCTCAGGGATAGTCTACCTCAAACTTATTGTATTGACATGTTTTATAAACATGAAACTATTTGAAGAATGGACGATGTGAACACTGAACAGAGAAGTCAGATGATGCCCAATTAAAGTTGGCTTGATGATGATGCGACCTCTGTGTATAGAGGGAGGACAGAATCTCGTTTACAAAAATTCCAAAGACATCATTACTTGTTTGTATAATTTCTTTTATAAATCACAAGGAGATTATTATATGTATTTATAATAACGTTATTGTTTGTTTCATTATTGTTAATTATAGTTAACAATTCTATTTTTACTGTCTTATAAAGAACTTTATTTAATAAAACACAAAAATAATTCTTTCATTTTTTTCTTTAAACTTGACTTGTAGTACAATCTGACTATCAGGATGCCAGGAAGGGTATATACTTTTGGATATATTTTCGTTGTAAATGAAGAAAATAATTCTAATATAAACTTTCTATGATGTTCTACCTTTCTGCACCCAACCTTATAATTATAAAAAAAAAACGAAAAAGTAGCTTATTGTCAAACTATTACAAAAGTTAAATTGATCTGAAATTTTGGCTTACCGGTACTTGTGTTCTCTGCTCATGGACTTGATGCCTGTACACACTTAACTTTTCTTCTTCTGCTTGCGTGTTTTGCTGAAAAAATTCATTTATTGCATGCGCTGCAAATGACTCGATTTAATAAGATAATTAAGGTGTTCATAAATCAAGAACCTATTCTGATGAAAGAGGTGCCGGTGTCTTATCTTATCTAGTAATACATACTTGTAAAAAGAAGTTAAAACTGAAATAAATGCTGATACCGAAAGTATTCGAGCTCATTAAAGTATTTGTAAATTGCTGTAGATCGATTAATATTCGTGGAACCATATTTTCACGATGTGCTTATTGACACTTTACTAGCGAGACATAATTTTCACGAATTATTGTAATTTCTGTATAAAAGCTAATTAAGGAATACTAATATACGCGAGAATGAAATTTTCGCGAGCTCATTATCTCGCGTAATTACGCCAAAAGTTCTCTCGAATAAACAGTGACTTACATTATACCTAAAAGTGAATTATAATAATAAAAAGAAGAAAACAAAAAAGAACTTATTTCTAAGAAATGTAATGCCTAGATCACATTTAAAACGATTCTCGACCAAATTTCATGACCACGGAGCAGTCACATTAATTCCTAGAATTATCTTTGCCGTGAATTAAAAAAAAAAACCCTTTTTTCCACCAGAAATCAGCATTTTTTTCCAGATCTATATCTTAAAATATGTAACCTGAGTTTGCAAGGAAAGTATAGCATTGAAAACCTGCAGAACTGTATACCAATCTCTATATTTCATTCACCCCTCAACTGTTTTTAGTCTTCTCTATGTGCAATAAAGTCGTTTGATTTGAATCATCTGTTTTGGCCGACGAAAATGGAGGTTAAAATCAGGCAACTGCCGATGAACTGTCGATTGTCCCCCGAATAATCCCATTTTTTGCTTCAAAAACCATCGGCCGTTGATCTTTTTTAACACACTATTAGACAAATAAGGTAGTTTAAAGTACACGTTATTGAAATGATTAAAACGATAATACACCTTGTAGTGGACCTTTATCAACTTAACCTTGATGAGAGAATGTTATGCATAGCATAGCAAATTGTGAGCGTTATTTTAAGGTCAATGTTTTAAGGAGTATTAGCATACATGTACATAGGGTTTTGATTATCAACTTTATAGTTGACGAACTTAATTGAGACATAACTTTAAAATCTCCTCTCATAGGTCTAAATATACATGTTATTTAACTGTTTCATAACACAGGAAAAACTGATAAGAATATAATGAAATCCTTGTAAATGGTTGTGTTCCGCTCCTGTTTGTATTGTTTTATGGACTTTTGATCTTGAATACGTTTGTTAACTCCATATCCTTCATTCATACAATTTTGATCAAGTTGTGGCCAAAATTACTTCGCATGAAGTACCCGACATCTAAAAAAAATGACTTTTTGCTAAAGGATTTATAAGGGTTTATGGAACAACCCAGAATGTTTTCCTACTTGGATTATACATGACCGTGTAAAATTCGATCCATTGTTCTCTTTATAAATTAATTTCTATTCATAATTGATTAATGGTAGAAAATTTTTCCTTAAAATTGACTTTATATCTAACAAAAATTGTTAGTCAGATGGTTCTATAATGTTTTAAAATGTGTATGAATAATCAAAAATAACATTTTAATTATAATAATAATACAATAAAAACAACATTCATCAATTTTTTTAAATAAAAATTTTGTTTGTGTTTAACGTCATATTCAACTGTTAAGTACTATAGGTGAAGTGAAATAAATTTTGACCTTTAACAGGAGCTGGCTGCCGGAAAAAATATGTGGTTTTTTATCGCACCAAAGTGCGCCGAAACACATTAACTTATTAGGTTTTAGGTTGTCATAAATCGAAAGGGCTGCTCCTTGCATTTATAAATCATTTTAGTTTGCGACGGAAACAAAAATGGAGGCCGAAATCTCCTGATCATGAGGCTTTACGATTACGCGTGGGCCATTTCAAGAAAGACAAAAAAGAATGTTCCATTTTACCCTATTGAATATGATCATAGTATTCTAAAATTCTAGTGTAGTGTTTTTAATCATAATTACAAACCAAAATGAATGATATTCAGCGAAATGAGCGAAAATAAAAGGGATCTCTTTATTTATTATGATATATTTTTTTTTGCAATGATGGTATATTTTACTTTATGTAGATGATTTATACAATGATTTCAAGTGGTAAGTTGAAGAAAATAAAGTTGATGGTATTTTTATAATTTAAAAACATACAAAAATGAACAAAAACTAAACACGGTAAACAATTTCTCCAAACTCGAAGATTCTGTATTCAAATTGATAAATAAACATCTAATATCATTCTACCTTGACAAAAATGTTTTTAAGGCCGCAATATTAGTAATGATAACATCGGTTTTTGATGCATGTTGTGTAACCGATTCTAAATAACAAGCTTTAAGAAGATCGGGTTACTTGTTTTTATCAGATAAAATTTATTCTAAAGCAAAAAACAAATTAGCCTTGTAATGATATTTTGATTTTGGTGTTGTTATCGAAAAATAATCAGTAAATAGAAATGATATAACCATTTTGTTCTGCTTTCAAAGTCCCAAGCGTTGCATTTAAATTCAATATCAAGTAAAAGGTGATTCCAAAGGTTGTCATAACCCATCGTAGCGATAAAAATTGCAGACATAATGAAACAGTTAACGTCTTGAAAACTAGGAAGGATAAAACACACAAATAACAAGCTAAAAATATAAATAGGGAAATCTCCAACCGACCCTATAACATCGACGTCAGGGCAGTCTTTACCACGCTGTCTGCTGGTGTACGCGTGCCCTTTTCCAGCATGCTTCGTTCAGTAATCCAAAGTGCAAAACGGTTACATCAACCATTTGGATGTTTGTCCTGGAATAAAGTTTCAAATTGGGTGAGTTTGATTAAGATTTCTTCTTACTTATTGAAGATTAAGCGATTTATAACAGACTGTGTATCAAAATCTGTCACCAAAAATTGACGAAGGTCTCTGAAATCTTATTGATCAAGAATTTGCTGTTTATGCTTTGTTTCCCCTTTATAATGTCTAACTAAATTCTACTTTAAAAACACAAGTAGAAAAAATACTTATCCTCTTGTACAGTCTCATTAATTGTATAAGATCGAGTTTGGTTTCATTGCAGCAATGTGTGAATGGAGTAGCATGGCAAAGATTGAAGAACCAACATGTAAAATTTTATTCTACAGGTAATTATGCCAAATTTTAACATAGAAAGTAATCACTTGAATGTTTCCTTAATTATAAATATAAAATTACCATACCTGAAACAAGTTTTGAAGTAACATGGAGAAATTACTATATTATCCAAAAACGATATTAAACAAAAAATAAGACTGTTTTACCTTAAATTAAATATTTTCAGAAAGGTGTCATCACTCATTTAGTGGGTAAATTTGACATGTTTGAACATGTTTTTCTGTTATATATCTATATATATTTTTACAAATCTGCAAATTTTTATACCTGATGAAAGAGAATTTCAAAATTCTCACAAATGCAGATTTGGAAATCTATTTTTGGTATATAAATCTTTTTCTTCCTGAACTACGAAGACTTAATAGTATAATTATCAATAATTCCAGACAGCTGAACCTAATATGTATCATATTAGAGGCTTCTTAAAAAGATAATCTTGGAAATTAAATTAGATTCACTATAATCATTACATAACTCTTGTAATTATTCTTGGATGATTCATATATCATATGTATTGCATTATCTCGTTTGCTCTTATGTTACGTACATGTAAGTTATTTGCTTGCTTTAAACAGATGATCCTCATTGCGTAGAAATCGATTTCTCCAAGAAAACCTACGACGATGAATCTAGCGAAGAAAAGGACGTTAAAACTATCTCACCAGCCTTAGAGGAAAACCCGGAGTTCGTCTACATAGAGCGGATCCAAGAAGAACACTACTGGGGTAGGATCCGCTCCCTGATGAGGCGGCTGGGATACACGGGGTACCTCGAGGATCTGAGGCACGGAAGGGGGAGAGGGGTGTTTATCAGAGACGATGTTCTTGATGTCATAAAACCTTATTATGGGACTGTATACAGGTCAAGGCGTCCTGATCCAATCTAAAACGTACAGAATGCTAGAACTTGTATTAGCTGACCCGGTTATAGAAATAAATAATTTTGTATCTTATATGTGGAAATATTTATGTTTGTTATTCTAGCAAGCCTATTACGAAAAACGTCATGAATGCTTTGCAATGATATTTTCTAGAAGTGGTGTAAAGAAATATAATAATGAACAGTATTCAAGCTGAAAAGTCCATAAAACAATATACAAAATAGGAGCAGAGCACACACGTACCACCAAAACATCAGAGGTGGGATCAGGTGCAATGGAGGAGTGAGCATCCCCTGTCGACCGATTACAACCGCCGTGTGATCTTTGTCATGATCGGTGAATAACGGAAAAATCTGTCGTCAATTCAATGTGTAAATAATGGGCTGGTATTGAGTATGAAAAACTTCAGTCATGCAGATTTGACTCAATGGTAAATGGTATTTGCTGGGAACTGTTATCGAGACTGCTGATATTCTTGTTTTGGAAACTTGTTTTTCATTAATTTATATCGTTTAAGAAATTGAACATACTTTTCAGCATGATCTTGCATATCGAATCAACTGAGAAATATGAACCCCGTATGCAGGCGATGTAGGTTTATATTGCTGCATTAGGAAAGGAATATGACGGATTAAAAGTCAAAGTCATCCCGTTTATCATTGTTGTTAGATTACCATTATCGTCTTTTTCAAGTAGTATCCAATTATGTAACAGATGTATCAGACTATTTGGTATCTTTTATCTCAATCTCACCAGGATATATCGTATCGGCATAAGAATGGAAATAGCCATTGTTTATTGACAACACTTCATCGATATATCTAAATGTCGTGTTGAAAGTCACAGCACCGAGATCTGCTAATAACTGGGTGCAGTTGCTTCCCATGGTATTTCTAATAGAATAGATTGTTGGAAAACCTGGTCTCCAAAAACCACATCGATATTGTCAATCAGAAACTCGAGCAATTTTTAGAGAACTTGTGTGAACAATCGGAATGTTTTAGCTGAATAATATTGTAAATGACCAATGACAAGGTAAGAATTTTTGGATGACCCGAGAAAATATTTTTTTTCAATTCCTAAAAGTATCAGGTGAAACATATGGAGATAACGAACAGTATTCAAGTTTCAGAAGGTTACAGGTTTCCGAATAAAAAAAAACTATTTTTATGAAGAAAAATAAAAGTTAAAATAATTTCAGTATGCCACATAACAAAAATATTGCATTAACGTCTTCCTCCATATTGTACCATAGTTACCATGGTCTCAAGTACCTATAGAGGAACGTAAGTAGTTCAACAATTTTGATACAATCTTTTCAAAAACTTCTTGTATTAATTTAACTCAATATTAGGCATTTCAATGTCGATACCATGACTTTGTAATCTAATACATGTGAATTTAGTTGAAATATGACCGGTCTTCATAAATATTGCTAGGTTAAAATGTACTGACGCACTGATTTTTTTTAGAAACTCGCCCATTTCCCCTATAATGATACACAGGAAACGGCGTGTGACGGCCAGCAGGAGGTGTTTATTCCTCCATACTATATATCACTGCTTCCAATCCCATCTCTGAAGCTTTTTTGAGGCATGCTTTTGCTCTGCTTCGAATATGTATTGTTTGAATGGACTTTTGAGCTGGAATTCTTCATTAATTCCGAATATTTCAGTCTAAAATTGTGAATATATTAATATTTTCAATACAGAGGCATGTGAAATAATAATATGATTTTGAGTACAAGTTTTGTCGCAATTTTTTTTAGCTCAATTGCAAATTTTCATCCACAAAAAGATAACTTAAGGTCAGACGAGACATTTTTCAAATATCTGGTTTGTTCCACTTCGTAAGGATAAAAATTTCATTTAAATTTTGATAACTTATGAATAATAAACTTGTTTCTAATTGTCTTTTAAAAATAAAAATGCTATATAGGCCTATAACAAACTATTCTCAGGCCAAAATTTCACATACATAAGAAATTAAGAGCAACTATATATTCCTGTATAAATTCAGGAGACATTCGATATAAATATTAATTAAGTTAGGAAAGTTATCAATAAGATTAGTAACTGTTGTTAGTTTCACATCGATGATTTTCTCATGAATATTTTCCAACTATAAATTCAATTTAAAAGATCATAGCTGACCTATTTAATGACTGTGAAAATAATATTGTTTTTTTTGTTTATTTATTATAAAATTGATTTGATTATAAAGAGCTTAATACGATTTCGTTTCAAAATAATTAGAAACATTTAGTTTTCTTTTCCCTCTCTGTATGTAACCGTTCCTCTTCAATTACAGAAAAGGAACCATATTGACCACTCAGCCAAAAGAATTTTTACTCGACTATCATAATTATATGCATCTTTCGATCTATTCTACTACTGCTCTACTTTCTCTTAAACAGCCACTGATGAACCGACATGACAGCAAATCTAAGGGAATTTAAAAGTGTTTAATGACATGTATTTTTATCTCGGTTTTTTAAAATTTTTATTTTGTTTTTTTTTCTAGGCCTAATGTAAACAAACTTTCTTAATATGTTATTATTATTCCTAGAAATTGATCTTGAGCTATACAGTAGCATGATGTCTTTTCAAGAAAATCATGTGAAGGTATAAGTTCTATATAAAAACTTTACACTTTTTAAACTTACAAAAAATATTAAAACTGCATTTAGTGAAAGCCAAATAAACAAGAATAGATATGGGTTACCCCATATCCAAAGATATTCGACTGTTAGATTTAATATGTTTAACGGTGTTTATAATGACGTTAATAAAAAAAACTGCACTGTCTAATTATGGAACTGTTGTAAATATCGTGATTCCATAGCATTACGGTCACCCAGTCTCCTAACAAACAGTACACATAGGCCTACATGTACCTGTAGCCTTGGTCTACACACGTGCAATGGAGCTGTCACACGCATCCAGCGAGCTCGGAGAAACACGTTTTGTTTTGCCGAGAAGTTACGGTGTCAGACAAAACTTTTCTTTTCTTAATTAGATCATATAAATACGAATTCTGATTAATAAAAATTATACAATCCCTGTTGAACTTTATATAGTTTGTTCTAACATTTGCATCTGCAACAACTTGTGTTTAAAATGGCCGGGTTGGGAAAATCAGGACCGGGTCGGAAAATTCTAAACTGAAAACATAGAAAACCTTTTTTGTTTTGAAAATAACTGAAATATACTAATATATTTGTCGCAGAAATTACTTACATTATTCAAGTTCTATATATAAGGGTATGCTGAACTTCAACACGAACCCGAATCTCCAACCCATGCAGTTCTCGTTTTGCCACACATACCCTACAGTTTACAAAGTGTACACACGAGCAGGCCAGGGATTGAAAATTCCGTCATTTAATAATACACACACACAGAATGATTAATTTTTTCTTTAAGAACAAATTGTATGATAATTAACGGACTATAAACATGTACTTAATACAATTGTTGATAAAGTATTATCAATTCATTGGTGAAAAGATATGAATCGAAGAATGACCTAATTATTCTCTATTATCAAACACGTAAAAAAAAAGGCTGAGGAGGGAGCGAGCGTAGGAATATTGATATTTTTTATTTGCATTTCGGGGGGAAAGTGACTTTCAAATGATATTTTGACGCTATTTTTGATTTCTTTAACGTATGACATACACAATGCAACTTTACGAACAATAATGTTGTATCTACTTATCATGATGGAATTATTTTGGTCGGACCAATATGTGTGAGCTGCCGCTGAATACAGTTATATATCTTGCAAAGATAGTATGCATTGATCGAATATATAGAAAAGACCATCAAATTGTGCATAGCAGAATAAAAAATGGATACCTTTTGATGCCTCAGATATAAATAAAAGGAATAGTCTAGATCATTTGAGCGTTTTCTGCGACGCGCTGTTATCTTAAT